CCCCTAAAAAATAATTAGTAGCCCAACAGGCGGGAAAATGTACGTTCCTTCGACGGCATTGTTTTGACGAGTTCCTGATTTCACTACAATGCTAAAAAGTGGATTTTTTCCTCCCCCAAATATGAAGGCTATGCGAGTTGTCCATTCCACCTCCGTGCCACCATGCTTAGTCATTGAGCACGACATTCAATGTCGTCACTCTGCCGACTGTCTCCAGTAGAAGAGGACAAAGTTCAGTTGTGCTTACTGATCCCTCGGAGTCAGTCCCTGGGGTATTTGAAACTTGTACGAAAGCTTTTACTTCTGCCTAAGAAGACATCAAACAATTGGCTGACGGTTACGTTTTTGGCTGGCACAACTGGTCAAGGCCGTTGAATGCTTTAAAAATCAGTTGATTCTGTAGGCGTTTTTAGAATGTTTGGGGTCGCCTGTGCGGGTTGACCAGGTGTTGTCAAACTGCCTGTTCCACCTAAGAATGCTTTGGGTATTTGGTGACTGAATAATAATTATATCATTGTCTGCGGAATATTTGTTCCTCTCTCAAGACGGTCTGGCTTCTTGAAAACTGCAGGACACAGAATTTTTCCTTCTGTTAGGTCAGCATTTTTCTTTATAGTCAGTTGGCAAGCAACAGTGATGCGATTCTGTGTTCATAATAAACACATTCTCTTTCATTTGACCAATACATGTTTCATTATTTTACGGCTGATGGTTACAGAGTTAAATACATACGTTTGTTTTTGGATGAATCATTGTTAATCAGCTTTAATATAACAATACATTCGGTGAAATAACACATTGTTGTAATAATAATATTATAATAATAACAACAGTAAAACAAAATTAGTGCTGAAGGAAATGGGATGGTCCTCTGGTGATCGTGACACCAAAATGAGAACATTAGTGCTTTGTGCTGTCTCCGTGGTTTTATGCACCCCGCATAATTTAGCAAAATTTGATCATTTTTTGCATAATTTCTGATTATTTTCCTTTTTCATTCTTTGTTAAAATTAACAGAATCGCACAATTTCACATTTTTGGGGTTCAGTTTGCATAATTTCAGAATTTTTCTTGCATAAAACAACGGGGACAGGTTGAGAGAGTCTGTTCTCTCCATGCATTGTTTTATGCACCTTTTCATTAACTTCTTACCCAATATGCTTTTCCTCAATCGAAGGGGAAGAGTATCACTTCTTTCATATAATATTAAAAAGGAACTTCTTTCCCCCCTTTTATAATTTATACCCAAACACGGTAAGCATATGATTGTAGCGATATCAAATTGGCTGCAAAAAGAGAACTTGACAAACGTAGAAGTACTACTAGATCTATGTCAGATGTACTTCTACGTCAGAAATACTTCGTCGTCAGTAGAATTACGCCAGAAGCACCTCGTCAGAAGCTGGGGTGAAAGCTAACTTGTTTGACAGGGTAGGCCTATAGTCAAAGCGAGACAAGGAACCATATAGAGATGGGGTCACACACGAATAGATTTCCCATATGAGGAACACAATAGACAAAGCTTTATACCCGAAGCTGCATTTCTGAGTTGTTAATGGAAACACATCCTGAATTCTTATTGTATATTCAACCGCCAAAAAAATCGGGAAAATATCTAATTAAATACATTATTTATTCCCACTTTCGGTAAAATGTAATCATAACTTTTTAACGTGCTGCAGGAATAATGGTCTCAAGCTTTTTTAAACACTAAATGTTATTTTTAAGATGTGAACGCACAAACAAGGAGATGACAATACTACAATTAATGTGTTATAATACATAACAATTATCAACGGCTGCCTTTGTCTAGCCTTTCACAGCCAGAAGCTGGTGTCATAATCAGGCATGACCTGATTATAGCGCGGTTAAAAGTCGAGGAAAGAAAAAAAAAACACCCACCCACAGCAACCATGAGATTGTAAGGAGTTAACTCCCCACACCTTTTTTGAAGTAGACACAACCAGTCCAATTGTTAGCTTTTATTATTATAGCATGAGTGTTTCTGCCTGCTTATGAGAGTGGTCCCAAAGGGCTGAACAGGGTATACATGTGGCCAAGAAACAGTTCTGAATGTTGTGCTCACTGTTCATTGGTGATTAACAATACATCAAAAGTACTACATCAGAAGTACCACAGGAGAAGTACAACATGAGAAGTATTATTTCGCTAGAAGTACTTTTACGTCAGAAGTACTCGTGTCGGAAATCGAAGCCGAACCGATGGCTCTCGTGTTTGAGAGTGTTCCCCAGAAGCGGTGAGCCGCAGAAGAACACAGTCACCTTCCCTTTAGCGTTGTCCTGGATTTTTTTGAAGATCTGAAATATAAGAGATTAAGTTTCGGAGTAATTTCTTGAAGTGAAGTTTCCGTAGCTATATTAAGTGAAATCTATCTTACCTCAGGTAACGTAGAGTAACGGATGAATGAATGAATTTCTTTTTTTTTTTAAAGGGAGGGGGGGGGTGGATTGAAAACAATTTCCCTAAAGAATGACTGACGAGGAAGGACACTGCGAGTGTGAGAGCGAGCTAGATCAGGGGGAGAGAGAGAGAGAGAGAGGGAGAGAGAGAGAGAGAGAGAGACAGACAGACAGACAGACAGACAGATAGACGGACAGACAGACAGAAATAGAGAAAAATGAGTGGTAAGGGGAAGACAGGTGGGGAGAGAGTGG